TAAAGCTTCAGTAGTGAGGTCTGTTGTTGGTTCCATGGTAGTTAAAGCTTCAGTAGTGAAGTCTGTTGTTGAGTCCATGGTAGTTAAAGCTTCAGTAGTGACTTCTGTTGTTGGTTTCATGGTAGTTTCAGCTTTAGTAGTGACGTCTATGGTTGGGACCATGGTAGTTTCAGCTTCAGTAGTGAGGTCCGTTGTTGGGTCCATGGTAGTTAAAGCTTCAGAAGTGAGGTCTGTTGTTGGTTCCATGGTAGTTAAAGCTTCAGTAGTGACTTCTGTTGTTAGTTCCATGGTAGTTAAAGCTTCAGTAGTGAGGTATGTTGTTGGGTCCATTGTATTTAAAGCTTCAGTAGTGAAGTCTGTTGTTGGGTCCATGGTGGTTAAAGCTTCAGTAGTGAAGTCTGTTGTTGGTTCCATGGTAGTTACAGCTTCAGTAGTGACGTCTGTTGTTTGGTCCATGGTAGTTTCAGCTTCAGTAGTGAGGTATGTTGTTGGGTCCATTGTATTTAAAGCTTCAGTAGTGAAGTCTGTTGTTGGGTCCATGGTAGTTAAAGCTTCAGTAGTAACGTCTGTTGATGGTTCCATGGTAGTTTTAGCATCAGTTGTAAAGTCTGTTGTTGGGTCCGTGGTAGTTAAAGCTTCAGTAGTGAAGTCTGTTGTTGGATCCATGGTAGTTAAAGCTTCAGTAGTGAAGTCTGTTGTTGGGTTCATGGTGGTTACAGCTTCAATAGTGAGGTCTGTTGTTGGATCCATGGTAGTTAAAGCTTCAGTGGGGAAGTCTGTTGTTGGGTCCATGGTAGTTAAAGCTTCAGTAGTGAAGTCTGTTGTTGGTTCCATGGTGGTTACAGCTTTAATAGTGAGGTCTGTGGGGAAGTCTGTTGTTGGGTCCATGGTAGTTAAAGCTTCAGTAGTAACGTCTATTGTTGGGTTCATGGTAGTTACAACTTCAGTAGTGAAGTCTGTTGTTGGTTCTCTGGTAGTTTCAGCTTCAGTAGTGAGGTCTGTTGTTGGGTCCATGGTAGTTAAAGCTTCAGTAATGAAGTCTGCTGTTGGGTCCATGGTAGTTAAAGCTTCAGTAGTAATGTCTGTTGTTGGTTCCATGGTAGTTTTAGCTTCAGTAGTGAAGTTTGTTGTTGGGTCTGTGGTAGATAAAGCTTCAGTAGTGAAGTCTGTTGTTGGGTCCATGGTAGTTAAAGCTTCAGTAGTGAAGTCTGTTGTTGGTTCCATGGTAGTTATAGATTCAGTAGTGAGGTCTGTTGTTGGGTCCATAGTAGTTTCAGCTTTAGTAGTGAGGTCTGTTGTTGGGTCCATGGTATTTAAAGCTTCAGTAGTGAAGTCTGTTGTTGGGTCCATGGTAGTTTTAGCTTCAGTGGTGAAGTCTGTTGTTGGGTCCGTGGTAGTTAAAGCTTCAGTAGTGAAGTCTGTTGTTGGGTCCATGGTAGTTAAAGCTTCAGTAGTGAAGTCTGTTGTTGGGTCCATGGTAGTTAAAGCTTCAGTAGTGAAGTCTGTTGTTGGTTCCATTGTAGTTTCAGCTTCAGTAGTGAAGTCTGTTGTTGGGTCCATGGTAGTTAAAGCTTCAGTAGTGAAGTATGTTGTTGGTTCCATGGTGGTTACAGCTTCAATAGTGAGGTCTGTTGTTGGATCTATGGTAGTTAAAGCTTCAGTAGTGAAGTCTGTTGTTGGTTCCATGGTGGTTACAGCTTTAGTAGTGAGGTCTGTTGTTGGGTCCATAGTAGTTAAAGCTTCAGTAGTGAAGTCTGTTGTTGGTTCCATGGTAGTTACAGCTTCAGTAGTGAAGTCTGTTGTTGGTTCCATGGTGGTTACAGCTTTAGTAGTGAGGTCTGTTGTTGGGTCCATAGTAGTTAAAGCTTCAGTGGGGAAGTCTGTTGTTGGATCCATGGTAGTTAAAGCTTCAGTAGTGAAGTCTGTTGTTGGTTCCATTGTAGTTTCAGCTTTAGTAGTGAAGTCTGTTGTTGAGTCCATGGTAGTTAAAGCTTCAGTAGTGAAGTCTGTTGTTGAGTCCATGGTAGTTAAAGCTTCAGTAGTGAAGTCTGTTGTTGGTTCCATTGTAGTTTCAGCTTTAGTAGTGAAGTCTGTTGTTGAGTTCATGGTAGTTAAAGCTTCAGTAGTGAAGTCTGTTGTTGGTTCCATTGTAGTTTCAGCTTTAGTAGTGAAGTCTGTTGTTGAGTCCATGGTAGTTAAAGCTTCAGTAGTGAAGTCTGTTGTTGGTTCCATGGTAGTTACAGCTTCAGTAGTGAAGTCTGTTGTTGGTTTTCTGGTAGTTTCAGCTTCAGAAGTGAGGTCCGTTGTTGGGTCCATGGTAGTTAAAGCTTCAGTGGTGAAGTCTGTTGTTGAGTCCATGGTAGTTAAAGCTTCAGTAGTGAAGTCTGTTGTTGGTTCCATTGTAGTTTCAGCTTTAGTAGTGAAGTCTGTTGTTGAGTCCATGGTAGTTAAAGCTTCAGTAGTGAAGTCTGTTGTTGGTTCTCTGGTAGTTTCAGCTTTAGTAGTGAAGTCTGTTGTTGGATCCATGGTAGTTAAAGCTTCAGTAATGAAGTCTGTTGTTGGGTCCATGGTAGTTAAAGCTTCAGTAGTAATGTCTGTTGTTGGTTCTATGGTAGTTACAGCTTCACTAAGAAACGTGTTTTCTGTGAACGAAAAACACTCAGTATTATATAATATAATTCATTAGTTTGCAAAGAAAATATAAATATTGATAGTTCAAATGTTTGTAAGCTGATATCAATACTGCTACTTTGTTACCAAAACATACACAACGCCTGTAAAATACATTGTTTGTTTACATGAAGGAAAAGGCCTAATCATAATATCTGAGAAAGTTGGTCATAAATCGCATGACCAAATAGTTTACGCTCGGTTACTATCTCCAGCTAAATATACTAATTTTACCCTGAAGGTATTCGTTATCGTTTATAACCTCTTAATATGTTTAAAACATCAACCAACAAATGAAACGCATACATTTTTTTTAAATTATTGATACTACTTGGTACTGGCTTCCCTTTCAGATGGTTGTACTTACATTAGTCTAAAGCATTTCATTTTTAAATTTAGTGCAACTTTTCGATAATCTAGGAAATCTAGGAAATCATGCTAGCGGGCATATCCTCAGTCTGTGGTATTCGTTCATTATTGAAACCATCCCTGATAGTAAAGTCTACCACTACCAATACTAACTCCTTGTTAACTAACTCGCTTGTTGATGTAGTAATAAATTCCCAAACTGCGCCAACATTTGAATGTTATTCTATAGCCCATAAGTAGTCGAGACAATGGAACAGAGAATTATACTAGTATAAAACGTAATAAACATATTTTGTATGGATACACTACAAAAACTATAATTCATTGAGTAAGTTCTATTAATTCAAATTATGTATGTGACATTGTCTGTGTATGCGTGTACATATCATATGTTTAAAGGGCGGTGGTTGTCGCACAGCGCATGTTTGAATTTCATGTAAACAAACAATGTTTTTTACATGCGTTATGTACCTTGCGATGAGCCATATCGAACACGACGCGGTTGATTGTAATGGGTAAATTAAGTCCATGTTACTGCTTCCATGAAAGATTAAGAAAATAAGGAAAAAGGACGCCCCATTTACTGTTGAAATTCAAGTGACCCTGGATCTTGCTAACCCACTCCGATCATAAATACTGGTCGTCCCTAAAATAGGCATGAGGCCGTGTGCCGTTTACATTACCAAAAGGTTTAAAGTTCATCAAAATACTCCAAAGAATGAAAATTTACGAGATCTCTTTGTATGAACAGTAGTGTTTACGATCTCTATTGTTCACAAGTGTAAAATATGCCTTAACAATGGTCACGTGACGAAGACTGACTTAGTGTATTTTTTCTTTTTATTTATGGTTACTATACATATATTATTACATAAATCTTATTTTATGTCATATTAAATATCACAAAATACATAAAAGAATTTTCACGATTACCAACACAAACAACTGCAAATAAATAATGAATAAAAAAATATAATTATATACATATATAATTTAAAGTAGAAATATGTATTTAGATAACAATACCAAAAAAGTGAGTTTGTATGTTGTAATTATCAAAGGTCATATTTGTGTTTCCACGTTATATCAACAATTATGGTTAAGTCAATGGAATGATCGTACGGGCATGAACGCACGTAGCTAACTCCAAGGGGGTGTCAGGTATTTATACAAGTGTGTAAATCATAGTCGCTATCATATTGGTGTGTTTATGTTTCATTTACAGTCTTTTTAAACTGTTTTAAAATAACAAAGAATAATAACAATTGTCCAATAATAGACACACTGATTTCAAAATTAATATCACAACAGCAATATCACCACGTAAAACAAATCAAAAAGAAAGTAATATTGAAATGCGAATGTGCACATAACTCTCACTATGTCAAGGTCTCAATACAATTTTAAATGACAGCGAAATGCGTTAGAGGGCGCATTAAAATACTGTGAAGATGTTCACAGACAGAACCACAAGTGTGAATGAATTCCTACCTGGGTTAATGCATACACCAATAACAAAGACCAATATCATCAGATTGTTCGACATTGTTAATCCCTGCATGGTATCTAATATAAACAGCAATAGAAATGTAATTTTATTGACAAACTTTAAATCGGTATATCAGTGTGTAATGAAAACCTTATGTCGCAGTTTAATGTATACCTTACGTATATGGTAAAAGTTGCTTGTAAGGAAGTTAGTAAATGTAAATCCGCCGCGTATGTTAAAAAAATGAAATAAACACCATGTCAAGTGAACGTTTGATTTTCATTTTGCATCATGAATTGGAAAAGCAGAACCGTTATTGGACCAAGCGAGAAGTGTGACGGAGCGGTCAAGTACTAGAGTGTTGAACGATTAAGCCGATGGGCGTAATGTTGCTGGCATACGACATTCCTTTAGGGAGTGACCATTTATTATTCCTGAGGGAGTCTGGCAAAACAGGGGGAGGGTCAGCATATTTCCGAAAGCCACAAGGGGAGGGGGCAGTGACTTTTTTACCAAGGCTGAAGAGGGTCGAATATATAGAGGGGGTTTTAGAAATTTTTCATTTTTTTTAAAGGGGCACCCTCTTTTACACAATGAATAAAGAACCGAGAATTGCCCTCCCCTTAGGAATAATGAATGGTCATTCCCTTATGTCGACTCATAAATTTTAGAAAGTTATACATCTGATGCCAATGTTTATTTTTATGTTAGGTACTTCAATATGGCCGTAGTTCAGTTGTAACATGGAACATTTATGTCACAATACCGTAATTTTTTTTTTTTGCATTTCTTGTCACCTCTTAAGACCCAGATTTCCAAAATAATTCAGAATAACAAAACGTATCTTATCAGTCACAATGAATGAATTGTTTATTCCTTGTATTTGATATGGCATAATATTTCACCATAGAAACCTTTGATAAAAGCGTTATAATACTCATTATATGTCCACCATCCACTGAAATATGACCATCGTTTTGTTGACAAATATATTGGTGACAGCGTCATTTACGTGGCGTACAGCTCACAATGAACACATTTACACGTAATAGCTGTCTGAACCCATTCCAATTAGTACTCGCGACGAACAGTCGCCTTTTGTGACAATCACATACACGACTCATGTTACTTCCTTCAAATATTATTTGTTGTATTTGAATTTTATAATTTAAAATAAGAACTTACCCCAGTCTGTGTTATGATTATATTAGGATGAATTCGGTGGAGGCATTACGAATGTTGTCCTAGACTATAACCGTATGAATTAATGTGACTAACTGTGTAGCCAGCCAAGTACTGTGTCTACATATCAAGTGTACCGTGCCAATTCATTGGACACATTCTCCTTCAATTTTATTATCAGTATATATACATATATAAACATTCACAAAGCTACTTGATATGAGTAAAGTCTTACTCGCTCGCGTTTACTCATATGACGTAGTGTATAAATGCAGAGTTGCTGACAATCAGAGTCTGAAACATATTTTACTTGCTTTTTTAAAAAATGTTGTGACTACACACTGCCGAAACTGCATAGCTTTACCCAAAGACTGTAGTCTCTATAGTTTATATAGTCTTTGCTCTACCATAAGTGGAATATATTTAAAAAAGTGAAATATAATATAAAACGGTTTAAGATAACAACAGAGAAAAAACGAATTAAAGATTAATCTGTGTGTTACAATAACAGTCATTTGAAAATAGCGAATATAGTCGTGTATATATACTCGTAGTACCAATGTCGATACGACTACTCATTTTACCACCATGGACTATCTAACGTTTCTGCTTTGCGGGTTTCCGGCTTTACATTATACTGCGTTTGGTGAGACGTTTTACGTGAAAATGTACAAAAAAAAAACTCAAAAAAACAACAAACAAACTTGTGTTTCGACTTTTTGTATACATGCTTTGGTCTCCTGGTTACAACTTGTTGAATCCAATGTCCGTAGTTTGATATTTGGTCGATCAAAAACAAAAGAAGAAATTGAAGAAAAGAACGAGACGAAGTCCTAATGTCGACAACGTTACAAATGTCTTGTGAAATTCACTTATTATCTCAGAAAGAGTTCAGATGATTTTTTATATAGTGTATAAAATATTTCCACCCTGTGTAATAGGTAGAAATACCCGTGAGTGACGTTAACATATAGTTACGTAGGAGAACAACAGGGGCGGATCTAAGATTCTGGAATAGGGGGCCGATGAGTTGGCCGAAGGCAAAGTTCGCGAGCGCCGATGGCGCGAAGCTCTGTTGGTTGTTAAAAATAGGGGGGGCGGCCCCCTCGGCCCCTCTAAATCCGCCAATGAACAAAACACACTTTCAACAACAATTCTAAATACTTGTTGTACGTGAAAAAACGCCAATCCCGAAGAGCTATTTAAATTATAACTTCCCTCACCGACTTAAAGGTAGCGAGAAGGTTTTGTGACGTTTTTAAATAAAACATTCTCTGTCTGTTGTCTCGTTCAGAACAGTAATTTAGGTTATATATATCAAAAGACTAAGTATAGATGTGCAAGTTCGCACAAACTGGACAGACATTGTTTACATAATTATCACGTGACATCAAAAATGGCGAACCTTGTAAAAATGACTAAGTCCGCGATTGCGAGAGCACACTGCGGAATTTCCTGGTGAAATTTACGTCATGCATTGTCCGTAATCAAGTCCATTGAAATGCGTCTCCGATAATCAAAAGACCTATTATTCCGATTTCTATGCAGGTTTGTTTTTTTGTACCCAAATTATTTCATACTTGGCACCTTTAACAGACTATTATTCTGTGACAAAGCATTTTCTTTAAAAACCCAGAGATCTTTTGCACCATCATTATCTTTTGAACGATAACTGCGAGTTTGAATGTCCTAATCCGAACGCACTTGATTTGGCGGCGGTCTCAATGAGTCGTACTCGATCAAAACTTCAACTCCAGAAAAACGCGAAAAACAGTTTTGGTTAATAAAACACTGTAGATTTGCTGCATTATTATAAATATACACTAAAAATGGCCAA